CAACCAAATGGTTTTCTTTGTCCTTTCCTATTCCTATTGCTACACTGCAGACTTTCTCTGGTGAAACCAAGATGGGACTTAGATTCTGGCCCAAAGTTTTACATTAATATACAACAACTAAAATCCATGGTCTTACATACTTGCTTAGATAAAACTCTGTTGCATCTTTGGTATGACAGCACTAAAGCCAGACCTTCTGACACCTTGTTGCCAGAAAGCCCTACCTGCCTTGAACCTGGTATGATACCAGCTGAAGTGCAGGACAGCTGGCAAAGTGCCCAGGCTGCTGTGGTGGTAGCAGCATGCTTCACCGCTGGCCCCAAATGGAGCTCTCTACAAGGGGCTGGTCTCAGGCTGGAGAAGCAGATCCAACTACTGATACAGCCATAAGATGGCTGACAAATTTTCCTTCACGTGGAACATCCCCTGTACCAAACATCCAATATTAAGCAATGGTCCACAGCATCCTCAAGTCTACTGTAGTGGCCTGTGGCAATGAAGGCACGGATCCCGAGTTCATGCACAGGCGCAAGCAGCATCGGGATCACTTTATTTTATGCTTTACACCCTTTTATACCCATCCCAAAACAAAGCCTCTACTTTTCTCTTATCACCTTGCTATCTGGCAAGCACTGAGTCCAAGCCTTATAAACAAAGTTCATCTTGCAAGGTCCATTAATCGCAGCATTGACCTTGTTTTTCACTTAGCTCTTGTTCAGTTATCCCATGGCTCGCGACCGACAACGCCAAGGATATCTCCAATGTCTGGCTCAGCCGCCACACTTGCAGATTCCGTACTTGTTCCCACAGTTGCCCATACCCATTAAAGTCCATGGGGTACAATATTTGTGAGGATCAAAATGACCAAAGAGGACAAACACTCAGTGGTAGCAGCTGAGCAGCTTTGAGACTGGCTGAAAAACATGGGGTTCTTCTACAATTAGAACAGACCTCTCCACGTGATTTAGCCTCCCCAAGATGACTCGGGTAAGCCACAGTATCCACAGCCATGGGCCAACAACAGCCTTCAGCCTGCAGGATGGCCATCTTGCACCCACAGCAGGACCAAGTGATGAGGGATCAGACTCACAGATGCAGCCTCCTTGGTGATCTCTGTAGTTTTCCATTATTCCAGAACTCTCCATTACCATCCACTGCAAATTCTGTCTCAATCCTAACCAAGGGAACTAGAAGCACACTGTGGGGAAGATCTTGGAGCCCTTAATAGAGAAGGCTTCACAAGAAGGCCCTGCTCAAGGCTGCCTGTACATCTGGAGAGCATGCACCGCATGCCAGATTCAAGGTCAGCAGTGACAGACTGCTTGAGGCAATGAGAAACTCACTCCCTGCCAAGCCCCAGGCCATGCTGAGCTCACAGTTCATATATAACAATGCAGATATCCAGCTCTGACAGCAGAATTGTCACCAGAAGTGGCTCAGGGTGCAGTAGGTCCAGATATCAGACGAATCACGCTCCCTTCCTTCCCTGAGTTACCCTTATCACAAACTGCCCACGGCAGCCTTAGACATTTCCCCCTTCCCAGAACTGTTTGGTTGCCGTCACTGGTGGGGTCTATCTGCTCAGTTAGCAAGGCAATAGGCAAAACGAGCAGATGAAACGAGCAGTGCTGACAGGTATCACCGCAAACACCTCTATCAGCCAAGTCATGAATATTGGCAGCACAGATGTCTTCCAGATGTTTTGCAGCACTCGTTTTGACTCCTGAGCCTGGCACTCCCCATGGCCCAGCAGAATTGCCAAAATCACCCCCTGGCTGAACATACCTTGTACAGGAACTTCAAGGGACATCTCCAGGCTCCATCCATCACAGATAACAAGATGATGGTGATTTTCAGGAAAAGAAAAGTGTCGGTGAAGTGGGATCCTAACAGCTCAGCAAGGACTGATCAGTATTCCCAAGACTGACAATGTAAGGCAGCAGCATTAAAGCCACAGGACAAGTGAAGACTGTTGCTGGGTTTTTTTAAACAAATCAAACCAAACACCATGGGCACCTTCTCAAGGTGATTTCCTCTGCTACCTTGCAAGTAACGACATCGGAAGAAAAGACGACTGCTTTCCCCATGCAGTTTGTCGGTTGCTATTTATGACCAAAAGGTTTGCTTCCCCATCTCCTGTACCAATACAGATACATGCAGTCATTCGACAACAAGATTGTTCTATGGACTAAGAAAAAAGAATCACACGTTCCTTCTCTTCCAAAGGTCTCTTTTACATTGCAGCAAATCCCCTATTGAGAAACTGGTAACAAAGTCTACCGAAGGAGGCAGCAGGGGCTCTACCAGCAGTGCCAACAGCATTTTTCCTCCTTTTCCCTCCAACAGACAAGTTGGATGCCTTTGGGTTTGAAGTATCCAGTAAAGACAGCAGCAGCCTACCATCACCATCTGTAGAAAACAGAGAAATAAGTCTCTCACTCCATACTGCTGGCTGCCAAAGACAGACTTCTGAAATCTGAACCAGAAATATTCTTAAGTGTTACCTGGAATGAGATGTGCTCACAGCCCAGAGAAGCTTTTGGAAGTTTGACATCTACCAAAGGGTTTTAAAGGTCCCATCCATACAAGATAAATGTAAAGGCCTAATCAAGCTACTGAAGCACCTGCATTTCATCTGTACTTTGTTCTAACATAGGCTGTTCTACTCTAGCATGTAGCAGGCTGAGGTAACATCGTAGCTTTGCAAGAAAAGGGTTGTCAATTTTTTTGTTTCTTTTTGCAATACAGATCATCTATACACTGGAGGGCTCTGACTAGAGCCTACCCAGAGACAGGGGGCTTACAAAGAGGTTTGCAATCATATATTAAGCAAGCAGCACACAGATAAAACCTCTTCAAACTCACTTCTGAGGTTTCCCGAAAGGCCTTGCACGTGTTCAGATTCCAAACATGGCACTCAGGAGGACACATGTACATTTAGCTCCGTGCTCTGAGCTGCAGAAACAGAACTCTCTCTTTAGGAGGTACCAGGATCTCCCAGCCATACCAACCAGTGTAAGGCAGAGAGCATATTCAGCATATGCTGAATTTGTGCCTGAACACCGACAGCCACTTAGATTCCACGTAGGATTTTCCATTGGATGGGACGGTTTTCAGAAGGTCAGGACTGATAAAAATGGGACACAATCTGAAGCAAGCCAGTAAGCATCAACACATCAGCCAGACCCTATCATCTTCAGTTCCATAACTATTTTGGAAGGTACTTAGACATAGATGGGGTCTGGACTAAGGAAACTTGCCCTATGCAGAACATTTTCTTGCAATATCTAAGAATTCCGGCACACTAAGGTGTCACCTAGAGATAGATGCTACAAGGAATGGCTCTTGGATGTTAACTTCTCAGTGTATGCAGTGTCTTTCGCAATCATCAAAAGAAATTTTAAATTGTAAATAGCCTACATTTGGGGTAAGTTTAGAAAGTGAGCAAATGAACACAAGTGTGGAGTATAATCTACTGCCCAGTAATCGGGGGTCATGGGGATACCACGAGCAGAACATGTTTAAAACTAAGCTTTGGAAAAGCCAAAATCAAGCTAATAAAAATGGGTGTTTGAGAGCTGTTAAGAGAACGTTTTTCTGTCAGAAAATATTTCACTAATCGGTAAAAAAATAGATAAAATAGAGAAGTTATCACACATTAATTCTGTCCAATATTCCGTAACATGTTACTGAAACATTTCACTTTGATTTCAATAACCTTAGTTTGCTTGTATTTTGATTTTTACAGGGAAGTATGTCTTGTGACATTATGAAACAGTCAAAGTGGTGATTGGAATTACTCCCCCAAATCCTGGTGAGATAGGACTGAATGCTGTTTCAATATTTTTCAAACAGAAACAGCTATTTGGAAGCTGCACGTCCAGTAGTCTTAACAAAATTAAACTACATTGCGTAACTAAAAGCGTCTGAGAGTTTGTGTTCTTGCACTGAAGTGTAATTTTGACAACCATCCTTTGCATTCCATGTGCAGGATTTCTCTCCCAAATAGGCTTTAACTTAAATAGAATATATGGATTTAAATCAAAACAGGCAGACTCAGAAATATGCTGGATATTACTGAAAGATATAGCTCACCGCACTGGTTTTTTTCTTTTTTACCATCAACCATAGAAAGCTTTATTCCAAGCCTGATCACACTTTCAGTTACAAAACATGTGGCAAAAAATAACAGTTAACACGCAAGATCTGCCATATTTCTACTTGCCTCTATTCTCACACTGGATTTTCCATATTGAGGGACGGAGTATGAACTTCTCCCATTTTTAACATCATGAATATACCTAATGGTAGCACACAAAGGTTTTTTAATTTCATTTCACAAATCTTTTACTCTCCCCAAGCCACCATTTGTTAGTGCAACAATCCAGCACAGTGCTAGTTGCTGAGGTATACATGGTTGAACTAACTTCACCTTCAACCCAAACCGCAATGTTTTCCCTCCCTCCCTTTTTTTTAAAAAGGTAATGAAAGCTGTCTATTAACCAATTCTAAAATAATTCCATTCTAGAGTAAAGAATGGTTTGGTAATAGTGACAGGCTGTAAAAAGCAATAGCCTTATCTTTTATCACCCATAGAACTCCTGCTGTACGTTTTTTTTCTTAAAATATATTTTGTGCAAAATTAAGTTCTGTGTAGGTCTGTACCATAATTTGGAAAAAACTGTGTATAAAATGTACTTAATTTTTAAAAACAATCCCAACATCAAACAACAGAGAAAGAAGAAACAGATCAGATGCAGCTGAAGTTTTCACATGAGAAACTAAATATAGTATGTTCTTAAAGCTCCAGTAATACATTCTTTCGAAAACCAGAATGCACTTTGGTCATTATTAAACATTAGTACAGAGGCAAATAAAATACAAAATGCTTGTTTGTGTTGCTTTATATATAAAAATATTTTTATACCACATCAGTTTAAGATACATTACTTGAAATCTTTCAAGATTCTGAAGATTAGCAAACGTAGTGAGATGTCCAGACTCTTGTCACCTAATTACTTGTCATTTCTCAGGATGAAGCCACTATTTTAGAAACATAAAACGTAAGAATACTTGCGCCTGGTGATATTAATCCTCCCAAAATAATTTGTAGATGGAAAGTTTGTTCCAAGTAACTTAATTCTACACGGGAGGTGACCTATTTTTGTCACGTTGAAGAACCACAAGTCAATATGACTGGTCCACGTGGGAGGCAGGGATAGAAGGCAGAGGGAGAGGTGGGAAACCCAGGGCTGGGAAAGCCCATCCGTAAAGCGCTGGGGAATGACCCCTGCTGGGGAGGAATGGGAGGAAAAGAGGATATCTGAAGACACAAGTCTGTCGAGCACCAGGCTTTGTGAGTTCTGCTGCTCGCCAGAGGAACTTGTTTTCTGTGTTCAACTGTTCTTAAACTTCAATGTGGTACAAATGGCATATACTATAGTGTACAAGAGGAGAGCATCTACCTATCTTATGCTCAGTCATTCATAGCATTCCTTGCACCTGTAAATCTTTCGCTTGTTTAAATATTCAACTTCAACATATAATATATACTGCTCCGTAAGTTCACCATAATATATTCCAATTAATATACATTTATATGTGTATATATATAAAGTTTCTCATTAAAAGTAACAATAAAAAGTGCACATATTGAGCATGCACAGTCAGAGCTGCGCAGAACAGCCCAGTATTTCAAATAAATACAATATTTAATTTTATCAAAATATCATACAGCATGGTAACCATTTACAATTATTGCTCTAATAAAAGTGTTATCAAAGAGCACTTGTTGACTTGTTATAATAATACCTTACTAATATCCCAGGATATTTAAACTGCAGCCTACATGAGTTTAGATCCTGGAATTACTCAAAATATTAAAAATTCCCACTTGCTTCTAATGGTAATATAAAATATTTCTGCTACCTCTCATACTGTATTGTCAGTACTTTATTTTTTGTGTATGTCTCACTTTTCTATCGCAACCAAACATCTGTTGGTGTTTTGTTGTCCTCATAAGTTATTGGTGCAAATGAAATATTCTAAGCAATTTTACCACACTATCAAAAATCAAATTACTTCCATATAGTGTTACTGTAACTAAAAATGTTCAGCATTGGCTTCAGCTTTAGCAACAGATACAGTAATTTAGTGTAATCAATTTCCAGGATTTCAAGCTCTCAGATAAACAGTTTTTGACCCTTCCCAAATCTGACCCTTTCCAAAACTAAGCAAATAAGTTTGAAAATAAAATACAAATGTCAACTAAAATGAAATAAAACAGTGAGAAGATGAAATAAATACAAAGATTGCACAAGACAGTCAGATGTAAACACTTCAATTTTCCAAACGACATCTTTGAAGAGGTGGTAGCATCTGAAATACAGATTCAGTGGCTGCTTTGAGGCAGTTTTGTCAATCAGTGAGCTTTTCTGTAACACTGTGTTATCTCATCTTCTTTATAAATCGTCAAGATTTGATCTTCCAGAGCTGGAAAAGTTAGAGCAGTAAATCAACGTTATTTCTCATCTCAGTTTTCTGTTTACCAGAACTGCAATACCATCACATTTTCTTTCTTATTGCATTTGCTGCATATTCTGTGATACACAAAATACATTTTACATTCCTTTACTTCTGACAGGAAAAAAATAGGTAGATATAAGCAAACTCAATGGCCAATTAAGGGGTTTGTGCTACAAGCTTATGGAAACTAACGTGCCTCATAACCTGAATCTTGAAATAGTTTCCAGAGTTTATAGTTCAGAGGGGGACAGAGAGTAGGGCCTAACGAGATAGTCCTTCAGCCATGACAAAATGACACTGTCAAGGTAATACTGTATCTGCTGCAATACTTTACTGCAGTGCAAGACAAGGATAGCTTCCTCTTTCTGCATCCCTTAAAGAACTACAAAGTCAACAGTGAGGAATTCAAGACAGAAATCAGATCTGGGATATGAAGAAGAGTTAAATAAGGACTTGTACTTATGTGTATGAATGTCTCTGTATTTACGTCTAAAAATTCTTCGTAATTATGTGTCCTAAATGAAGTTAGAAAGCCACAAAAATGAAAAAATGTTAAAAGGCTGCTTTGACAAATATTCTGATATAGTTTAGATTTTATAAGCATTTTCAAACAATAAATCTTCTAGCTAATACAGTTAAGAATTCATTAGGCTGCAAAGTACAATCCATCTGTCATAACATTCTGAACACCATGGTGAAAAAAAGGATGCTTATCAAGTAGTTACCTTTAGATTAAATCCAAGCAAGTCACTGATGACACCAGAAACAGCTGACAGGATGACAACTTGGGTGATATTATAAAGCAGTGGATTCATTGTAAGCCCATATAACCTAAAGGGACTGTCCAGTTCCTAGTAATGCAAAACAATGACATCATTAAAAAGCAAAATTTACACACAGGGGGTTTTGTTCACATATGTATTGAACAGTATTAGATAGTTTAGGAAGTCTTCAAGTCATGGTGGAGTAAAACATTCTTCTATTCTTCTGCATATAAAAAACAATGTGCAAGAAAATACCCACCACATTAAGTGACTGTTGACTGATGGTGTCTAAATAACCCTTCAAAAAATTGGAGGCTACCCATCTAGAGCATCTACCCATTTGCTTATGGAGCCAGGAAAATAGAGGGGTAGTTTTCCGGGCACCAAGGTGCCATCACTATAGAGTTCCTTATAATATTCCAGAAATCACCTTAAAAGGGCTCACAGACAGCAGAACCACAAAAACCAAGAAAAGACAGATTTTCCACAGTGACAGAAGGCTACCTCACTACTATGAAAAATTAACAAAAATGTCTTTCCTAACATAATTCCCCTCCTTTTCCATTAATTTTGAGAATTGTTACTGATTAACATAGCCAGAAAAGGAAGATAAAGGAAAAAAATACTAATAACCATTTAACTGCCAATATTTTGCTTTTTTTTATTAAAAGGATCAAAATATTGGCCAGAATTAATCTGCAACAAAACTTGAACAAAGAGGCTGTTTCATTAATTCTCAATTATTGGTGTGTGAATAAAGTCACCCACACTTTTCTGGCCTAGAAACATGTCAAACAAAAGAAGAAAAAAAAGTTTTGTAAGAGTGGAGTGTATAACAACTATCACTACTTTGGTCATTTATATTGTCTAGCTTTAAATTCATCTTCATCCCTCTCCTGCATTACATCCTGGGCCTTGAAAAAGGCTTTACAAACCCTTTTTAATGAAGAAGAATTTCAGAGCGCTGACTTTTCTTTCAAAAGAGGTGAAATAAGAATGAACAACCTTTTCATTTAGATGTAATGTGGAATAAAACTCTGCTGCAAATACAAAAGATATAAAAGACATGATTCTGAGAAGAATAGCAGAGAAATTCTTTAAGGAAAAAGTTTTTAAATTTTGGATTCAAGTTACCAATTTTTGGAGTAAGAAAATAGTAAGAACATTCAACATAATAAAGTCTTCAGTAAAAGCTTAAAGATCAAAACCATCCAAAACGATATTAAAAAAAATACCTCCAATTAGCTACGGGGCAGGAAATATGTAACTGTGTTGATCGCTAACTACCAAGAATCCATTTACAGGTCATACTAGGTGGCTTGGAAATCCCAGCTCACTTTTGGGCATGTTCTCACAGTAACTAAGTGATGGCCTGGGTCTTGGATTTGTGCCAAGTCCCCTGTTGGTAAGGCCGTGTCAGTTGATACATATCTGGAATGAGTAAAACATGAACTTTTTTTTTGTAAACACTGAGAAAAGCATGAAAAAGACCGAAGTGAATCAGATCAAGGGTTGATCAGCATCCTGCCACCAACAGCAGCTACTTCTCACCCTACCTACTTCTCACAGGACCATTTCAACTCATGAGGTACCCTGAATCTGGTGTGCTCTATCTAGTCTACTTGTCCAGTCTCTCCTTGAATCCAGATAACCCTTCTGCATCCACAGTGTCCTCTGACCAACAGTTGCACAAGTCTGCCACCTGATGCACAGAGAACACATCCTTTCTTTTGTTCCAAAACCAGGTCCTCAAAGCTTTGTGGTCCCTTATCCTTATACCAAGAGATACAGTCAATAACTGACTTAGCCAGGCTCTCCATATCACTGTACCATAACTCTCAACTCAAGTTGTTGCTTTGTCAGCTTTGAGTCCTTGCCAACTCCGTCAGTCCTCTCATGGAAAGTGCCGTGTACTTTTTTTTCAGATGAGGGGACCACACACACTGTTAAAGGTGTGCTGGTAGGGAGAATTACTCAGCTGACTAGAAGAAATATTTCATCATCTCAGCTGCTAGCTGGCTAGATTAAACAGAGTTTAAGCTTCATTTTAAGAAATGTTCCTTGCCGCACAGGAATCAATGGGGTAAGTGACCAGAATTCAATGTGCGGTAGAATGAGGCAGCAAGGTCTTAAAGCACCATTATATGCAAAAAAACCCCAACTGTTTCACTTAATAGGCTTGAATTTTCCTGACTGCAGAGGAAAGGTATAGAGGCATTGAAAGATACGGTTCAGGTGTACTGTATAATCCAACCATTCCCTCTACTGATGAGGATCTCCGCAAATGGAATCAGTATCAGTTGTACTCCACTCAAACATGGTGGGAGTGGGGTGTGGATTAAATTAAATTTATCTGAGGTGGAGGAAAATACTTTTATATTCCCCAGTCATTCCTGGGGAACTTTTCTAAATGACCACTCTATCTTGGACTAATTGAAGAAGTTGATTCCCTGAAGAAATCAAAATACTGTTGTTACCTTACTTCTGAACCTAAGAATAACAAATCAGCAGCATCTCTTTAAGAACTTTACCATAACAGCAGAATGTATAACAAGATCCAAATACTGAAAGCTGAAGCTAGAGAAATTTAATTTTAAAACAGTTTACACAACAGCAGAAGCAATTAAGCACTGAAACACCATGCCAAGAGAGGTGAGGAGGCAAGTATTGAATTTGGTTTTTGCAGTGTCAGGACTGGCTTCCTCTTTGAAAGCTCACTTTAGTCAATTATAAGTTATATACTGTTAATTTTAGTGTAAAAACACATATGGAATACTAGATCTACTTGATTTTATTTGTTCATAAAAGCCAAACCTAAAATTAAAAAAGTTTTTCAAGTGTTAAATTTATCACTCTTATCTGGCATTCAAGTAACCCTTAAGTAGGTTTTGGATTAGGGAAATGTTTAGTCTGAAGGAGAATGAGACATTTCTGGAGCAATAATTAAGCTCCCAGACAACTGAAAGAACGAAACAGCTTGCTTCCCAAGTTACGACAGATCTGTGAGTTTGAAAGAACAGAAGAACTCAGCAGAGGCAATTTAGGATGAAATGTGTCTTCCTGAGAACCTCAACCACTGCTTTGTTAATAACAACAACAACAAGAAGAAATTTTAAGAAGCCCTAAGCATGTCCATGACCTAGCTCCAGAGGAATGAAAGAAAGATGATTTTTCTTCTACAAAATTCTGGAAATGGGAAGTAATAAAACCAATTCATGTTCTCTCACCATGAAGAAACATCTTCTACCCACCAACCATAGTTCACTGGCAAACAAGGTAGTATTGCATAAGCAAAAACCTTTTCTACTAATCAGCAAAACTCCACGAAAAAAAAAAAAGCCAAATAGTTCAAGGGCACAGCTGATAAAGATATGGATTTAATTTAATGTAATTCAAATATTTAATTTGCTTACAAATGGACCTATGTAACAATTTTTCTGTCTTCCAAAAGGATTCTTCTTTTAAAGAAGTTATCAAGTTTTAATTTGAAATGCTAACCACTGACAGTTATTAAGAGGCATTTTTTTGTGGAAGAATACAAATCCTCTGGCAGCTTATTACTAGAAACAGATATTGACACTCAAAACAGACAACAAAATTGTATCACTTATTTCCCAAGGGTTCATCATCCTGTCCATTCTGAAGTACCTTCTCTCAAGTGCCTCATATACTGTTGAAGAATAAAACTTGTTGTATATAATAATAATAATTTGTAATCCTCAGTGACAGCAACATTAACAGACTGTAGCATACGAACAAGTAGCATCGCTGTGAAAGAGTTACAGAGCAGATTTAAACCAAAGCATACTGTACTGCCTGCAGAAGTAACACAAGTGACTCATTAAGCAATCTGTTCTGCTTCTTAGTTATATAAAATACGGTAATACTATTTTAATTCTTACCTTCAATAACTTAGTAGCAAGTTTTAAGACATTGTTCACTAGTGTCAGTTCCTCCTTCTTATTAGGCTTTTTCTCCATTTTCAAGTACAAGTTTATCTGATTTAAATAAAATACAAGTATCACCATTTATTCAGAATTTAAAGGAATTTATCTGGAAATATTTAATAATAAAATGTTACTCAGCAGCCATATGATAGAACAGCAATGACATTTCTGCAAGCAAGCAGATTTTTTGCTTCCTTTTTAATATTTAAGAACAAATACTGGCTCGGTACCATAGGAAAATACAATGGTTTATGATATAACAAAATACATTTGACACTATTATAGCAAGAACTCTAAAGTTTAGTGTAATCTACAAATTAGTCAAGGAAAAAACACCACATATGTAAGGTTTGCATGATTTCTTTTTCCTCTTTCAATAATTGCCTAAGGTTTGTCAATTCACATCCAGAAGGTTTTTATACTAGTATGCAGACCTTAAAAGGCTTAACATCCCCAAAAGTTATTGAATGGACTGAAATGCTAAAACATAATTCCGCTAAAGTGTAATTTCTTTTAAAAGATTTTAGTACAATTGAGTTTAGTACAATTCATGAGCACCTTGAGTGCAGAAAAACAATCTTCCAAGTGCCTCAAAATATTTGAAAAAATATTAAACTCTTCATTGCTGTAGAAGAACAGCATATTGATCATTTCAAGGCTTCTGTGATCCAGACCTTTTCAGGTCATTGTTTCTGAGAAAGTTCAGTTAAGAGGGCAAATTAGCTCTCTTTTGGCCTTCTAGCAATTTTGAAATATCAGCTTTCATTCTCAAATGACCTATCTTTGATATCCTAGACCAGGCAAAGGTTAGTTTTTATTTTTTACTGCAGAACAAAAGCAAACCAAGGGAAAAATATCTTGAAAAGCCATGAACTTTTTATTTTAGGATGATAACCTTCAACAAAATAAAAACCGAACAATTTTGCAATATGCTGGAGTAGTCCTTCAGATTACAGAGACTCTTACCAAGCTACAGAAATGAAGCTATAGAAAGGACATGATGCTATATGATGCAATGATGTATTTAACCACCTTGTTGTAAGGTAGTTTCTGAAATAAGGGCCACAGACATCTAAACAAAGTAACTGAATATTATCAGATCTCCCTAAAAAGGTCACTGTAAGTTTCTTAACACAAAATAAAAAAATCAAAAGCTATGCCTAATATATTCCAAGGCATATTAAGCTCCTGAACTATCAATTTAATTTTAAAGTAAATTATGCTTTTAGAGGCAAAGCAATTCCAGTCTTTAAACATAAAATTACTGATTTCAACAATTCAAGTGTTTATAAACAGGAATAAACTAAGAATAAAGGCTCTATTTAGCGACTCTGAAAAAACGGTAGTAATAAACCCTAAGGACGGTACAAATCTGTTTTAGCAATTACTATGATTTCATTAATTTATGGAAAAAAAATCAGCATTCAATAACAAACTTTGAATCAGGAGGGGAATGTGTATATGCCCAGCCATCTACCATACCTATTCTGAGACTAGAAACTGGCAAGACAACAACTTTGATCAGACCATAAATTGTATTTTACTCCACAAGGAACCGCTGAAGTACTTGATTTACAAGACCAATTAAAAACACTTTGAGAAGGACTTGAAAAATTACAGGCAAACAGCATACAGTCAAAAAATCCCTTGATGTACGATGATTGATCTTTTTGTTTCCCATCATGACTCCTAATCATGAAATTCATAGGTTGAATATAAAACACACAGAAGTGGCTGCAACTTTGCTGACAAGAGAGTAGAATTTGCAATTTCATCTTATATGTGAAGTGTTTAAATTTAATCTGGGGGTTGAGGCTTGTTTGTGCTTTTGGCTTTTTTTGTCGTAGTTTTTTGTTTGTTTGTTTTAAAGCTCCATTCTCTTCTCAGTAAGCCTAATAACACTAGTGTGCGATTTTCAAGGACACCAGTTCAGATGTGCTTTTTTAGATCAAGTGAGAGTCAGTCAGCTCTTTGGGCCTGACCTCTCATGAAAGGCCAAAATGTCAGACTTTGACGAGTCTGTCTCAAGAGCACTGTAAATATGTGAAAACAGTCCAAAAATGAGTTCTACCCAGGGTGACATATCCTTTTTATATTCTGAGAAACAATTGTGAATTCTATGTTGGACTTCATTTCATAAAGCTCTCGGGCGTTTTTGAGGGAAATGACTTATAACAGGATAAGCTGGATTCAACACAAAGCTAAGCATCTCATGACACAGCACTTTCTGAATTTTTTTTCTTTTTTTTTAAAGTTCTGGGGACATAAATAGAGTGTTTCTTTCAATGTTCATGCTGGCTTAAAATGTTCAAACACTGACTCTCATGAACAACATAGTATAGAAAGCTATGAAAGCAAAACAAAGGCTTGACATTCTCTGTCTCTCTCGCCTTGCTTTCTGCATTTTTTCCCAATCCTTATCCCAAACACTTCCCTCCATTTTCATTTCAGAAACAGAGGACATAAACATCACTGGGACATTAGGCTATTCACACGCTGAGGATCAACAGAACAATGCAAAGCTCTCCGGGGCTCAGGAACTCTGAGAGGTTTCACACTGGTGCAAAACACAGCATTCAGGACAAGGTAAACAGGCAGTCTGTCCTCTCAGTGTCTAGCCTCATCATCTTTAATAGAGACAGAATGAACTCTCATTGAGCGAAATATGTAAGCGGTCATTTATACCATCTGTCATAAGCTTCACATCCTGACTTTGGGAGACTCAGTTTGGAAGATTTTATTCTCCAACTTGAACACATTTCCTGTAGGAAACCTGTGAAGATTTCTTGAACTGCCTATTTACCTTGTTCCTGAATGCTATGTTCTGTACCAGTGTGAAACTTCTCTAAGCAGAAGGAGATTGCTTCTTGCCGAACACTAACTGGACATGATTAGCTCAGGAAACTATCAGCAGTGCCAGGCAGAGCAGAGAGGGAAGTTAGCAGTACAAACACTAACCAGAACATTCCTGAGAAGAAAAGCATGTAGACCCAAAGCCAAGATTGACAGATGACTGAAAGGAAAAGTTTCCAAGGAGTCTAGAAGAGACTATATGTAATCCATGCAACCCGGCAGTCAAAATTATTGGACTGGAAACAGTGACCCACTTTGTAGAGGGTAAGTTTGTTTTCAAATCTTTTACTCTCCCATCCAACAGGTTGAAAGTTCAGTTTTCTTTTTCATGTTAAAAAGCTACTTTTGTGTTTGTATTTAATTATATGAAATTACATATGCTGATATCTCTAAGCCTGCTCACTTAAAGAGAAATTGGGATATGGCAATCTCAATGTTCCAAACAACTTTTAAACAGTCTCACACTTCTCACAGAAACTGAACTTCAGGTTGTAAAGTGTTGTTTCTCTACACCACAATTAACTCCCTAATCCAGACTCTTTTAATACATGTAGAAATGCATGCCTGAGGCCTACCAGATGAATAACTTGTTTAGATACAAAAACATAGGTCTAAACAAATTCCTACCTGCTCAGTAAGTAATATTGAGGTATTGCTGTACTTTTTACTGGTTTCAGATCCAAGAGTAACAAATCTTAAGAGAAAAAGAGATAGTGAAATGCACCAAATTACGAGTTCCCAGTTGTAGTGACAATCAAGGAAGATCTCATGCATGTGAAGCAGCTGAAAACAAAAGAGAAAAAAAATTTAATTCAAAGTAGTAATTACATCACAACATAAGAAAATAATTACATGTCTCCCCAGCTCCAAGAAAAATTTCCCAGGAATAAGCACATGGATTGGTTTTAGGCATAAAAGATTTTTGAATCATAATTTAAAATCAATACTGTGTCAAAGATACGAGGTTTGAGAAAAGATAACGTTCTGAAAGGCTCAATCAGAATTTAGACACATCTTTTTTTCATATCCCTAAAGCAACAGGAAAAAAATATACACTCTAAGACAATTTTAAACTCATGTTCAAGCTTGCAAAGACACTATATGGGATAAAAAACAAAATATACCCTCAAATGTACTGAATTAAATAGAAAATTGAATCCAGAGTTACTGCTAAATTATATCCTTATTAAAACATTTATAGTTAGCTACCAGGAAGAGACATTAGCGTTAACTAAGAAAGAAAGTGGGGAAAAAAATACAGCCAGAAGCCATTCAGAAGCTCCCCTGTGTTCTGAAACAGAAGCTCAAGGAAAAATCTTAAGCAGTAAAAGTTGTCTTTAAACACAGATATGCTTACTAAAAGATATTCCACTAGAGGGCAGGCTAATATAGACAAGAATCTTGTTTCCCCACAAAAATCATCAACCAAGGTCAACCCCAACTGTCTTTGCAAAAGTTTGTTTTTATGCAACAACATTGAAACATGAAAAAAACTTCTAACACTGTAAAAAACCCCCTGTATTCCAAAATCCAAGATGGAAAATGAAAGAGGACACAGATTTAAAAAATAATAATGTGTTAGGAATTATGCTATCAAGAAGTTTCTTTAGCTCTTACAGAATAATATTCTAAAGTAGATAAAATGAACAATACAAAACGGAGCTTAATCTTCTGGAGAGCTGTAACAGCTGTTACTGATTTTTCACTGTGGTCTTTTAACTTAATAGGAATCACCATGCAAAAGGCACCCAAAATTATTTTTAAAACTATTGAAGTCATGGCTCTTCCTATACAAGTTAAGATTTCCTCACCTGTGCACAACAGATAAACACAACTGAGATAGTCAGTAGGAAGGCAGATGAAACTATTACATCGACTGAGCGCTGAGGACCTCGACGCTGAAAATAAAGGACACGCATATATGTATGTGAGTGAAAACCTACCCAATCAGCGTTGGCATTTAGCATATCCAGTTAGATTCACACCTTGAACCTATGTTTCATCATGGCTCACAATTTGGCAATCTAAGTTCCAAACACCATATTAGATCCTAATAATATCAGTACATTTGAATACTGCTAATGACATGTGAGATTAATTCAGACGCAAGCATTTAAAGATAACTATGAGAAAAGAAAATATTCACCACTTATTCAGTCAGCTCCTTCATGATGTGAAGTAACTTTCATTTAGGCAGCATTCCCTGACCTAACAAATTTGATATGGCACTGGGCTTAATTTAACCCCAAGTATCAAACCAGTGCTAACAGAAGATTTTTGGACATCAGATCACAACAGGATATCAAGATATGATTTCACACTGTTGGTATTTTCTATTACTTGCCTCTCTTTGACAAGCAAAAATTGCAGCTGTCCCATTGTGGTAGGTGCCATAATATAATTCTCTCCCCTAGAGCAAGAAGGAAAACTGAGGAACAAACACACTTGTTTTGAAAGACGCAACCTCACTGCTTTCAACCATTTTTGTCTTGCTTACTGGTACAATGAAATGTTTCTACCCAATGAGCTTTTTCTTCTTTTTTTAAATTAAAGAATTAAACATCCTGTGCTTCATTGAAACATGTACAAGTTATAATAGACATTTATTTCTCAACTTCCTTCTCCAGACATGCTTCTAATTGTATAAACGAGAGAAGAATGGGAGGCGTACATATGCAAGGCATAACCTTGGAACTTGGAGAAAGAGATAGGAAGCTTTACTACTGAAAAAAATATTAAGTGCAAATTACTACTGCAGGTGTGCATGAACTACTTTTATACTGAGCCAGAGTTTTGCCTGTGTGAGACTTGACATGTGTGTGTATACCCCAGCTCACATCCTCACAGGTGGACACATATACAGACAGGTAATATGTGAGCGCATTTTGGACAAGTGCTATGCCACTCTATGCCAGCAGCACCACTGCCAGAAGGCAGCCCTGCTCCTCAGCTGCTTGTCTCCATTCCTTTCCTTGTGCTGGCACAGGCATTACAGAGCTGCCCACTGAACCAAGTAAAGCAACAGATGGAGGTGAAAATTACTGTTCTTGACTGGTTATTTTTCAGTTGGGTCAGTTCCCTACGCACCTGCTTCTGACCACTGTCTGATTACTTTCTTCTTAGCCACATAATTATACAAATGTTTCTGGTGGCATAAGAAAAGGTGGAATATATAGATGTATTTGTAAGGAAAGAACGCAGTCTTTAAAGCATCAAAACTACATTCTATTGCCCAAGTGGTGTTATCCTCCTTTCCTCTCGCTCAGCAACACATTACAGACTACAAGGAAAAAGATACAACTCTCTCAAATGTAAAGTTTAAAGGGTACCTCTTTTTTACAGATTCTTCCATTACACAGAGGGGTGTTGTAAATGAATCACCTCAATTCCTCTTAAAATCTTTCAAATTTAAGATTCTGATTTACATTAAAAATTTTGCCTGTTTACAGTTCCTGCTTTCCACACTCCCCAGTCTCCACACCATAACTTCCTTAAGTTTTCATAATATTTTACCTGCTTCTAAAAACTACTGATAGCAGATTTAATCTAATCTTTCTTAATTGCTGTTGGAAAGAAGCATAGATGCAATTAAGAGGATTACCACCACTAACAAGAGGTTGCCAGTTGCTGTTCACCAAAAAAATGGTTCTATAGAAATCAAACAGAGAAAACCCTAGCTTCATCCAAGTTGAATTACCTAATGCAGAGAAAAAAAAATGGAAGAAAACTTGGGGGCCTAGGGGGTGAGGAGGTAGGACACCAAAAAAACAACCCTGAGTTAGATAATATGGATCCTTTCACAAAGAATCATCAAAATGCTCTGCCTTGAAAAGATCATTACAGAGATATAAGGAGATTACTCAAATATGAGCTGAACATACAGTAGAGGGATTGGAACGTCTTACAGATAATACTTGGGCATAATTTCTAGCTTCACCTGGCACGTATACACTCACAGCACAAATATGCACATAAACTGTCTTGCTTCATAAATTCCTTCTATGCTAATGACACTAACTGGTGGGACTTTTACAGTAAGATATTGTCTATATTATACTACAAATGGTCATTTTTACCCAACATATTCACTTGAGAGACTTTTCTGCTAGCTTTAGTAAGACAAGACTCTAAACACACTCATACTTTACTCCAAGGTAAAAACTAGATGTTTACTTTCTCACAATCTGGCTGCCTGCAGACACTGCTGGCCCAGAGTCACTAAAATGAAGTGTACAGGGCACGTGCACCAACAGGGGCAAGTGCACAGGAGGAAAAATTCAGACTAGAATACCAACCTTCCATATGAGATATTTTATATTGAAGTGGTACCAAAATATACATTATTTTACCTTTAGATAGGACCTGAGAGAAAGCCACATTTTTATATTCTGTACTTTCTTCAAGCGGAAGTGAGGAACCTCCGATTTTCTTGCTCTCCTGGCAGATGTTAGATGACCAAAAAGTTTGGCAAAAAGTAGCCTCTGCAGAGAAGAAAAAAAAAATTACTGTATCCATCAATTGATTTTCAGAGGCATTAAAAGAAAATGGAAAACAGTTTCACTTAATATGTCAAAGTAATGTACAATTTATCAGTGTAAATTCTTAATACAGTGCAGAAATAAGAGTAGCATGTTACTAAAAAGGGGAGATACACTAAAGTTTTAAAAGTCTTCATAGTCTAATGATAAAATTTAGATAAATTCTGAGTTCCTTTCTTCAAATTTCAGACAACAGATCTGCTATGCTCTTAAAATTTAGGAGGAAATCAAACCTGCCAAACATTTGCATTAGAGCATGCCTGTTTCACAGAAGTTCCTTCCAACACAAATTATTATTAGAAGCAGGTTAATTCTATTCTACTGTATTAAAGTACATATTTTGGCTATTACTGGAGAAAAGAAAGTACAAAAATTTTTCTTTTGCAGACCCATAAGTATCTCTACTCTGCAGCTAGTAAGGGATACAATACTCTCTTGAAAGTTTAAATTGCAATAACAAGCAATAAATTAGCAGGTTTATTACTTCAGATAGCAGCTCTCACTGCCTCCAGCCATGGGACTGACCTACCAGCAAAGCAGGCAGCGCTCTTGGCTAGGGTCTGGAGTGAACTGTTTGGAATTAAACTGAAGGTTTTGAATGAAACATACTGGTAGAACAAACTGGAAATTCATAGAGTTCTTTTATTGAAACTCCTTCTCCTTGGGGAAAACTGAGACAAACTGGGACATGACTAAGAGCTGGGTTAACGCACTGAGCCAGAAATCTCAAATAAAAGAATAAAAAGTTTTCCCTCAGAAATACTCTCCAGGAAAAAAAGGTTTAGCTACAGAGACTGTACAGAGCCTTCCACCCATTGCAGCCGAGTCATCTCCTAAACTGTAAGCCCACTGAAGTATTTGTCATCACTGATCTATGAATCATAGTGCAGTGAAGAAAACAAGTTTAAAATATCCAGAAAGTTGAAAAAACACAAACATTAAGCCTTGTTTTGCTTTGGATGAAACTTCATGGTTTGCTGTTAATACCTGTTTATATGTCCTCTCTGCTACACATAGCAGAAAAAAGAAAATCCACACTAGAGACACACGGACCACAAAACTTATAACCACCATTGAGAAAACCAGAATGTCTCCATTTGATCCAAATGCAGTCATACAAACTTCAGTGGCAGAATGTGCAGCTAATTGCTCCAAATCTTTAGCTTGGGAAAGTCGAAAGACAAATGGCATTAAACCCAGTATTAAAGATATGACGTTTCCAAAAATCTGATAACCAATTCCTGGTATATAGCTGTTCACCTAAAACCAAGAGAAAACAAGGTATATTTTTAATTTTGCAATTGATTTGGAATTAAATCAATAAATAAATTACTAATGTTGCTGTCTTACTATCACAAAGAACACTTTATAACCTGATAAGTTATATGAAACCTTCAGCCAAGCATCTTCACAACTTACTATTAAGAAAAAGGAAGTCCTCAAAGAGCACTTAATGCACAGGAACCAAATACAACAAATCATTTAAAAATCCAACAACATAACATTGCAGTTAAGAGGCTACAGTACATATTCTTGTATTAAAAATTCAGTGAATGCTGAATTAGCAGAGTGCACCAATCAGACTGTGTTGCTTACATCCTGTAAGTTGCTCCTATTTGTGTTTTGCTTTTAGGGTGTATATTTTTTAAAGGAATCAAAGCGTTCACAGGGCAGACAGGACTGGAGTTCCATTGTGCTGGCCATGGCTTTGTTAAATTTACTTCTGCTGTGGATTGCACCCAAAACTGCATCATCTCTGAGTCAGGTACAGAGATCTGAACTAAGTTTGTGAATACATTGCTTTTTAACAAGTTGGAGGCAGTAAGTATCAACTTGTCAGAATTAGTGATAGTTTTCTTAAGTTATGCTAGGATTTTATGTTCAACTCTACAAAATGCCTACGTTGTCTATATTGAATAAACGTAAGAGATCAATTAAATGCTTTTCCAACTGTTTCCTGAAGAAGAGTACTAGGTGAAAGAAGGGCGGACTAGTGAGACATCCCACTCATCCTCTTAGATGTTTGTTTCCTAAAGAGGAAAGCTTTCTTTTCCAGTCTTAACTTTAGCATCCAAACACTCAAATCTGTATATCCCTAACCCAATATATTAGTTGTTCATTGGAATCAAGGAGATAAATAAGAATATTCATAGCATATATCACTCTGAAACAATAAAACAGAGCTTGGCTATGTTAGTAAGCACCTAACAATGCAAACACATTTTATTGTCCCAACACTTAAGATTTGGTAGCTCTTTTATCTGTTAGTAACAAGTAAATCAGAGTGATATAATCCATGGAACAACAATATGAGTAACAGCTAACCTTAGGGAAAAAAAGAAAAAAAAAAAAACAAACTCAACATAAGATAAGCTTATTTTTGGTAGTGCTTAGACTCCTAAATACATTATTTGCATAAAGTAAAAAGAATACTCACTCTGTTCATTATCATGCCACTGATTTCGAGCACAGACATATCTGCTTTCTTGCAGTCATTACCCTCCCATACAATTGCACTTATTTTTTCTAGTCCTGGATTCAAACTGTGGATCCAAGGCAAATGACTCTGGGGAAAACAAGGAATATATTCCATCAGAGATAAAAATCTGTTCTCACGCCAATATCCCTATTGTCAGCAACATGCTGACAAAAAAATGCTTCAGACTGACACAAATATTCTTATACAGCATTTACTTCTAGCATATGTTAGCCACATTCCTCAAAATCATCCACTTCTTTTCCAAGAAATACCTGTGAGTACAGAGATCTCTCCTTCCCCATACTTCATTTTCTAATAGTGTTATTGTGGTTGAGGGTTAACTGGCTTCTTTTTGCTCAAACATATCAAAGAAGAGAGAATTATGAAAACAAAGGTCTACTTAGAAGTCATCTTTAATTTTGCCACATGTTAAATGGAATATTTTATTTTTCTGATTATTCTTTCCCCAACTTTCTGAAAAGGACTCTCCTCAGGTTGAGCCTAAGGCCAACAGTTTTGATTTTTTTGTTTTAATGATATTTGTGTACTTCACGATCCTTGTTATGGACAAAGGCCCCCCTACGCTAACTGTATCTGGCAAGACTCAGAGAGTGTGGTAGGAGTCTAATCAATGCACGCTGCTCCAAGAGCCAAGCAATCCCAGCCCAAGCTACGCAATGCACTTATGGCTGAGACACCTTTACTCTAAACAGAGAGCCAAGTGAGAATTGAAGGACCTAAAAAAATGTTGAGGCAACAAGTTCTGCTGCAGCCATTTCTTGAGTTCCCTCAGCCCCATCTCACCCCTCTCCTACTGAGCTGATGAGACTTGCTCTCCACTCTGCCTCGTCACCTAGCACTATGTGCATCAAACTACTGGAAGTGGTGGTGCTGGGGCAGGGCATGACATGATTTTTTAAAATTTAATTTATCGTTGATTAAAAGTTTTTTATTTTATTACTTGCTTTACCAATATTCATCTGAAATCTTTGTATTCTGCTAAGCACTCAATTATCTCCCTTTTTTCCCCACTGGATGAAAAATACTGATTTACATTACTAAAAGAACTCAAATATGAGTTGCAGGACTTTCTTAATCATAGATTTCCAATGTCTCCCTCTAGAGGGAGTATCAACACCAGGAGCTGAAACTCAGAAATTCACAATCTACAATCAAACAGAAAAACACTCAACTGCAGAAAAACAAAGTCAATGCATATACTGCAATTCAACTCCCTATCATAAGGCTTCCGTTTTAGCGTTTATAAGGAATGTAAGCAAGAACTACTAAAAAAAAAAAAAAAAAAAAAAGAAAAAATAAAAAAAGCCAAGACTGCTTTGTTTGGGTTTTTCTGGGGGGTGGGGGGAGATGTTTTTTAAAAGCAACAAATACATCATTTTCAATTCTGGTTATGAATGAAAAGATTGTCTTTTGAAATTCTCTTCCTTAGCTAGCATTAACACCATCTCTTGCATGGCATTCCTTAGTACTGATGATGCACTACCAACACATATGACATGTTTACCCAGAAGAATGTTTCACATTCTCTCCATCTCTTTACTTAAATGGTTCAAATTAGCAATGCAATTAACCTGCAATTTAAAGATAAGACTCATACTACAAATATAACTGGCATGGTGACATCTGAATGGATTTTACCAAATGAAGACTAGTGATTGTTAATGATCAAGTATTAACAATGGATTCTGTCGAACATTAACCCAAGGCAGGCTCCAACTGATGTGTTGCCCAACAAACGTTATAATTTTCAGAAATGACTGCCTATATGTTCCTAGAGAATAGCATTAAAGAAAGGAAATAAAATTATTAGCTTTAAGATCAAAGTAAAAATATTATATCAACAGAATTCAGACATATAATACACATCATATATATACATTCTATATACATATATCTAACATTAGATACTATGTATGCTATCTTTGTTTGCTTTTTTTATATGTACATTTATATATAAGCAAACTGAAAGATGTCTGATATATACTCACAAAAACATAATTCCACTAGAGAAAAAAAAAACCAAACTAACCAAACAACAGAAAAACCGGAACCATCTACCACAGAGGAAATTTAAATCAATCAGTACTTGCCCTGAACTAGAACTAAGATTCAAACACTCAAATGTTCTGTAGGCTATTTCAGTATATTGTCATATCCTCTTCATTTGACAAATTAATGACTGAGTAGTAGAAATCAAATTTTCCTTGTTTTAATTCTATCAAATCACTTTAGGTTTGTTACTTCCATTTAATAGAGAGTTCTTTCTCCCAGGCCTCCTGACATATGATGAAGCTGATAATACTGAACTTGTGGGTAGTGCTGGCAGATACCAACCTGATGAAATGGGTCATCTCTGTATTCTTTCTTCACACATGGATTCACTTGAGGGCTTTCTACATCCGTCTCACTGGTACAGGAAGAATGGCACTCTGCACAGTGTAAGAGGTCCTCCCACAGCACATCTTCAGTTTCCGATTCTGGCCTTGCACTCTCAGAATCTTGTCTGGAGCTTGAGCACCGAGAACTGCAGCTAGTACCCGATTTGGGTGTATCCTGAAATTAAAATATGCATTGGAATTAATGCAGCTTTTTTATTGTATGTTGTTTCCTGACAGAACAGTTATAAAGTTCAAATTAGTGAATCCGTGCTTATCTGGTTGTATGTTCCAATCCATTATCTTTCTCATCGAAAGAATTACATGTTTATTGAAGGAGTGTCTAAGAGGTTACACATTTTTAGACACTGTACAAACAAGTAACAGTCCATGGTCCCTGCTTTGTTGAGGGGGGTCACATAATGAAGATTCAAATAATTTTAACTATTAAAAGGAAATAACTACCTTAGAGATTTTTAGAACTCATTAATTTAGACTTTAACAGCAATTATCAAGCCACAGACTCTAAGTATGTCTCAAACTTCTGATATTATAAGCTATAAATTAAGCCTCTTTTATAATACTTTAGAGCTTCATTATTTTAGTGAAAATATGAAAGACACAAATGAGGCTTAAAGCCATATACACTGGACTGAAATTTACAATACAGAAATGTAACAGAGTGAGAAAAGCATCATTCACAAAGTATTTTAAATTAATTTAACATTTTTATTTTTTGTCTCTAGTTATTTGAGTTGAAGTTCATAGCTACTTACTAAATTCTCCATACAGTAAGGAATTCTTGCTCTAGAAAGGGCAAGGCCCTGGAGGAAGAAGGGACAGGTATTTCTAGTCATCCAAAACCTGAGGCACTCAAATAGCCTTTCAAGCAAGCAGTGTGGACACTACTTAACTAGTTTTAAAAGAAAGCTTGATACATCCCAGAAGTACATTTCAAAATGTAAGAGCCTGTAATAAAAGAGGAATTGACTCTCAAAGTCCCCTACAAATCACATTCTCCCGTTGTTGCTACTAAGATACCTTCTCAAAGGCAGAGTGAGCATGTCTGAGGACAGTTAAGCATCAGGTGTAGAGAGGAAAAATAAGCAAGAGTATGCACAGCTAATGCTAGGTATATATGTAATTTACATAGTCATACATAAAATATTAATTATTTTAAACAAACTTAATTGAGAAACAAGTATGCCTTATTATGTTCAAATCTCCCCATGCATACGTACAAAACAATGTAATGTTATCTTCAGAATGAGAACGCAGAGCTTTAAACTACCTTCTACAGTAAGCAGAATCCATTTCCTGCAAGATAGGCAGGGCAGCCTTAAAAGCAGTACCACCCTACTCATCGCCAACCTCTGGCAATTTCCGTTCCCTCCTAACACAAAATTTCCTTCCTACTAGTTTTTACACTGAAAAAAATAATCAAGCAATGTTTCAGCAGACCTACTAATTTAATATGATTTGTAATGCATTACTATCTGAAGAAACATTCTTTGTTCCTCCTGAAAATTATGCTCAATGTATTTTATATAAGCAATTTTGTAAAGAAATATTTAGAAAAAAATTGGTCTCAATTCCTTCCCTTTCTCCTACAAAGCGAGGGATAACGCCAATGCAAAAAGAGTCTGAACTACTTTAAAAAAAAAAAAAAAAAAAAAAAAAAAAAAAAAAAAAAAGAACAAACCAAAAAAACACACTTATAGGAGGCAGTCACCACTGGGTACCATTGAGTCCTGAAGTTAATGAAGTAAGAACATTAAAAAAGCTTGCTCAAACAATTAAGTTGACAAGTAAACAGGAAGATAAAAGAAAATGTAAGACAGAAGTTGAGAGTATATCCCCGACTTCACTAATTTTTTTTTTTTTTTAAATACAAAGAAAGCTTTCACAGATTTGAAAACTATTGTTTCATTTCCTTTGTAATCATGTGGGGGAGGCGAGTTGCAAAGAACAAAGAAAGGCTTCCTCTTCCATGGCATCAGTCAGATAAGTAAATGGGGAACAAGTATAAAATATTACTGTCAAAGCGACACACAGAGCAAATTCAGTCTCTTCAGTTTCTGAAGATATCTACAGTCTTCCCTAGCACTGAAGCACTCTATGCAAGAGAAAATACATTTAAGCTGAAAAAAAAATTGACTGTAATCAAGTCTTTCTGCTTCCTCTTGTCAAGCATGACCAGCTGCACAAGTATACAGTCGAGAGACATCTTCTGTAATAGGAAACAAACAGTTCCAAGTATCGACCTGTTCAGTTATCCTAAACCAAACATGTATAAGGCATTAAATACTCATATCAATTAGCCTTCTGGATCTTTTTAACCAACAACTGTGAGAAATAGATGAAAGAATAGAAGATTATCCAATAAAGTTTTTACGCAAAGCGTCATCTTCAAAGCTTTGCAGTTGTTATCAGAGAAAGCAATATCTGAACCCTCCTAAGGAGACATTTCTTGTATCAAGTAGAAAGCTTACTCATGAGGCTCTGCCTATTAAACCCATCTGCAAGTGGACTTGTCAGAGCTGAAATTACTCTTGACACTCTTTTCTCATAGTCCCAGTGAAAAAATGGCAACACAGCCTTTAAGAAAAAATATTCCATATATCTCTCAAGTTGCATACCATTAGCAAAAAAAGAGCATAATTTCTTTTAAATTATAAATAAATAAATAAAACCATGATAACATATCTCTCTCTATTTCAATGTCTGAGTCCTTACAACTAAGGACTCTGCTAATATAGAATCTATTAATTCCCCTCTTCTAAGCTGTGATGTCATCAAGACTACTAAAATTTCAATACTTCATGCATTAACAATTTTGTTGAGGTTTCATTACAGTATTTTAAATGATTGTTTCAATAAGCATGAGGGAATGAAAACTCAGAGGTAGAATCAATCAGAATTCTCCACAGGAAGGCTAGTGAATCCAAAATACTAACTAAATGGAGAGAAACAGCAGCACTAGCACGATGAAAATTTGCATATTGCCAATTACTACTGTTTCTGTAACAAATCAAGTTTCCAGAGGAGATAACTGGTCTCAAAAGACAGCAATAGAGTTGGCCATAACCTGATGCAAGATCTATAGAATATATTTCAGGCTCCTTACAACAAATTGAAAAATAGGATGAAGTTCAAGCTAACTAAATAAAAACCTCTTAATTTCAAAATGCTGTCAAAAAAAAAAATCCCTGTCCCCCACTAGTATGACTTCCAATTAACAGACTCCTAAAATCCAATATAGGAGGAAAAAAAGATTTGAGGAAAATATAGCTATTCAATAACAAACCAATAGTTTTTAACAGTTTACAAAAAAGCAGCAATGGAAAAGAGCATACCTCTAGAGGATAGTGTTTCTTATAATGGTGAGACTTCCTGTTTCGAAGTGTACAATCACTGGAAGTACGTTCTACATTGCGACGTAGAGAATATCCAGTTTCAGGCCCTTCCTCACTAGAAACTTCATCTGATAAATTTGTCACAGTCTTGTGAGTATCCTAGTGCAAGAAATATAGTATTAGTAAGACATACACTCATATATACTAGGTCTTGTTCTCACCTACTGAAATCAAATTTCTTTCTGCAACATTATTATCTATGCTCAGATATTAATGCATTTCCAATTGTCAAAA